GCGTGGCCTCAGATTGAGTTCTCCGGCATGGGCAGAGTTTGCCCCACGTGAAGCAATTCGCTCATATTGTTTTGGATCCTGAAGCAAATCGCTCGCAAATGACATGAGAGGATCTGTGCTCGCACGTGGCGGTCAAAGAAAAAAACTCCACGAGATGGTGGTTTCGGAGATTCAAACGTTCAACCTTAACTTTGAGAAGATGTGATCCTGTTTTTTTCAATTGAAACCCACTCATCTCGTCCGTGCTCAACCCGTCACCGTTCGCCGGGGCGCGCGATCGGATCGGTGGCGCGTCTATCGGTCCAGGATCGAGCCACCCAACGGCTCGTTGAGAGCATGCGGAAGAGAAGAAAGACCATGCAGGAGGAGAGAAGCCCATGCTCCAACCCGGGCCTGGTAGCGGAAGGAATAGCGGTTCTCAGTCTGGGAGGAGCAGCCTTTGGGACTATTGGGGGGTCTAGAATGGGCTAAGATATGAATGAAAAGAGTTCAGGCATATTATAGCAAATTACATGTTGTGCAAAGTTGAATTCATGCGTCATTTAGTTGGTAGGAAGCCCTGTGATTTGTTAGTGTGATAGTTAGTTCTGTTGGTTCAATCGCATGTGGAAGTCCCACATGCACACGGACGTGTATCAAAACGTCTCCTCAGGGGGAAGGTCCAAACCGTAGGCTCAGTGTAGACCACCACAAGCTGGGTGGAGGTCTTCAAGCAGCTGGGTGGGTCTTCAAGCTCAAGAGATGCGATCTGGTGCCGAAGCGTCACCCTCCGTTTGGTGGAGCCCCAAAACGAAGTCTCCATCTCCAAGAGATTCTTCAGTATCCACAAAGGAGGATTCTACTGCGTCACCAATTGATTCCTGTCAGGGAACTGTTAGGGCCTTTCCCAACCCATTTCGGAGACCTGTAGAAGGGCGCAGTCGGGTGCGAGGATTCCGTGACTTCCGTGAGGCTGGACGTCGACCCGTCGGCCAGGACCTCAAGGCACTGGACATCCGCCTCAGCAGTGCCGAGCGGCCTTCGGGGCTGTTGATGACCTTGCTGCAGGCGGTGGTACTTGGAGGAAGGGTAGTAGGAATGGTATAGTAGGAACGGTATATAATAGTATAGTAATATAGTATAGGCGGTGGGAACTAGCTGTGACACATGTTTTTGTTTGTTTTTTTCCGAAGAGCCGTGAGTTCCGCGGCGCGGCTTTGTGTACTTGATGACTTGTTTGGGGGGTCTTCGTCCGGCATGCCTCAAGAAAGGACCTAGTTAGGCATCCGCGTTTGCAGGCACGCACTTTAAATAGAACAATGAACATCAGTCTTGAAAAGTCCATGGTGTAGTATATGTCTTGATTTGTATAAATATGCTATTGCTCTGCACTTGCTCAACGTTCGTTCGCAAAGCACGTCGTGAATCTGCTGCGCCATCCCGTCGGGCCACTCGCGCGGACCGCAGGGTCTGGACACCACCGGGAAATTGCCGGCGCCGCCCAAGTCCTTGGGACTCCCAGGTGGGCGCCGCACAGCGCGCGCGCTGTGTGTTTTGGGGGAGGTCAAAGTGGGCAGTTCGCGCCTTGGAGGGGCCTCTTTGGGCGACAAAGGACAGACGATCCAACGTGTTTGGGGCCACTTTGGTGGCTCAGCCAATCGCCCGTTTTTGCATCGCAACGGGCGATGGGGCCGCTTTCAAGCAACCAACTTAGGCAACAGGAAACAGGGCTTGTCGCGAGGCCTTTCCGAAAAAAAAAAAAAGCCCAACATGTGGTGGTTGCACGTGCACAGAAGATGTTTTGCGGCCAAGACACCCACATGCTCCGTTCTGTATCAATGAACAGAACCATACAGAACCTATTGAAGGCAACACCATCTATGTTTATGCTCAAAAGGGCCCCGAAAAGGTGCTTGTCTTTGATCGAGTGGATGCTCAGAACGAGTTGGAAAGCATTTCCAAGAGAGAACGTCTGGTGGATGCTGGTGTGTAGTCATCCTTCTTTGTTCAAGGATTGGAAAAGGGATGCTGAATACCCAGTACACCACCAATACATTCAGTCTGTTTATAATGAAGCATGCTCTAGATTGCAATGGATCATTCATTTGAGCACCCCTTTCAGATATCTCAGGTGCACAATGGACTGAAACAAGTTACAGTAGGTAACAGTTTGCCAGCTGTAACCCTTGCCAGCTGCCAGCTTGTTCTCCTCGAAGACGGGAGCCACGTTCACGTTCACACAGGCAGCTATGGAATGCGAGAGCCACGGGAGTCAGAGGACTGACAAACAAGACACGAAGATACCTTAGGACATCCTTAGACCCCAAATGAAGCTCCTTCTTGAGCAAAGTTTGGAAAAGTCAGCGCAGGTGTGTTTGTGATGTCTAAGGCAGCATCCGTTTGTCCTTCCAGATGTTGCAAAGGTGTGGTAACAGCTGAGTGGTTAGCTCTTTATCTTATAGGTGGTGTCATTTATGAGGTTCGTTGAAGAAAAGCTCTAGGTGAGTGGATGGAACACGAAAGACTGGAAGTCTCCAAGAGAGACACGAAAGCGTCCGACGCCGGGTCCTCCGTTTCCTTCTCTCCGACCAGGACAAGAAGGATCGCGACCGAGACCGAGACAGGGATCGAGCGGCTCGCCCCACGAAATCCGTGTGAGAGAGTGATTTATTGATTCAGAAGGGGCAGGGATCGGTGATAGAGAAGCTCAGAGATGGTGTGAGCACTGAAAGTGAAAGTTCAAAGCAATGTGAATCTCTGTTCTTGCCAACGGTGGAGTCTCTGAAGTTGTGGCACCATGTTCGGGAATGGCGGAACACAATATAATATTGATATCGAAAAGCGCACACAAACTTGACTCATGGCAAAGAGCACGTCAATTCTCTCCTCCCCTCCCATCACTTCATCCCAGCGCCACATGCCGCGTCCGAGGACCGAGAGAAGAAACGCTCGCGCTCCCGGCGGCGACACTGATGGCAGCGCTGTTCCGTCGCCAGGAAGGGACCATTCTGAAGCAAGAGTGCAACAGGTATCAGAACCGCAAGTCTTAGAAATAGATAGAATAGTAGTATCTACTGCTGCAAAAGAGTAAGAACAATGGTATTATGTAAATAGCAATAAACATGGTCAAATATGAACAATTAGCAATATGTAACACTAAATACCAGGATCATCCAATGGGTGTCCAATGGAGGTCCATATGTAGTCCAGAATTGTCTATTGATGGCCCATTGGATGATCCAGGTAATATATAATATATATGATACATAGTTACAATGCTGTCTCTTCGATGCTGACCATAATGTCCAACCGACAATGTCCTGCTTCTACAAACACCCGACATGATTTGACGAGCGTGTGCAGTTGAGCACGTGAGCGCAACCAATGAAATGTGAGGAAACATTGGCAACCCATTGTAAACCTGAGTCTTTAAGAACGTTTCCTGCTCTTGGGCCCCTTCACCGCTGTCATTCACCTTCCAGTTCTTTCCAGTTAAGAGGTCATTGGCTTGGGTAAGAGGATGATGTTGAAACGCCGAGGCCTGGGTTAGACCACCAAGTCGGCCACACGACCAGTCCGGGGACTGCCGGACGGCCGGACTGGTCGCACGGCCGTGGACTGGGGTGGTGGACTGGGGGGTCTGTCTGGGGCGGGCATAATGACTCATGACAGGTATATGACAGACATGGAGTTCCAATTTGTATATATGACTCATGGCTATGCGTTTCACGCGAAGCTTTTGGTACCCGAGGTTCCTCTATGTGTTGTTGCCATGTCTCGATGAGTCTCCATGTCTCGTCACTCTTCCTTCATCGGTTCGGTCTTCGACTGCGGCAGAAGGCGTTTCACAGCGGTGGCAGAAGGGCAATAGGACGGAGAGTCGGGGGTTGATAAAAAAGGAGGCGCTGGCTGTGTGGCTGTGGTTTGTTTGGGTGTTTCCGGAAGTGCACTCTTGTGCGAGAGAGAGAGAGAGAGAGACTGTGTGTGTGTTATATGTCGTGCTAAAACCTTTGAACTATTCACCGAACAAAGGAGCGGCACTTGGTGAGAAATCAAAACATTTCAACAAACATTGACATCACAAAAGCTGATCAAAAGTAGTTTGGCGTAGGCTTTAAATTGAGAGGACCCCCGCCGATTCTTCCAGCGTCCCGAACTGAAGAATCGGGAAGTCTCATGGAGTCTGAATTTATGGTTCCCTGAACCTGACTGTGCCCTGATGGCATGAACCTGCAAGGATTTCCCTCTTCAGCCGGTGAAAAAGGTCTCATGTGGGTCGTCTCGCGTCGCTGAATTTCCGTCGCTTCATGTTGCTTCGTGTCCCCTTCTTTTGGGTTTTAAAAGAAACCAGACATGACCAGACTCCCTTTCTTTCACCCTGAAGTCCTCCTGTGGGACCGACTTGGAGCTGCCGTACGACCGATGGGTTCCTTTACGTTGATCTTTTGGGAGGGTGATGTCTCAAGCTCTCTCCCTTGGTGTCTGAACAGCAAAAAGGTCCTCAGGATCCGGCTTCAAGGTCGGTCCATTTCGCGCATGGTGAAGGGGACTCCATGACCATCCCACTGTATTGGCGTGATATTCCCTGGAGCTCCACTCTCCTAAATTACATCCGTATAGAATCCTAGGTCAAAAGCTCAGTGTTCTTCACCTTTTTGCTCCAAAAGAGAAACAGTGCGAAAGGGCGTTCCACTGCTCTTCTCAACGGCTCTTCTCCCGACATGGCGGATTATGGCACCGGGAGACAGGCTGGTTGACCCATCGAACAGAATGGACTTCCTGGGAGGTCAAACAGCCAGAGTTTTGATTCGGTTTTGACATCTTTCTTTCTGCGTGTGGTGGTGTATCGCCCGACGAAAAGCCGCATCATGGGACGTCGCCAAGCCCAGCCCGGCGTCCGAATGTCGAAAAATCCATGAAGATCCACTTCAAACACACACCAAGAGAGAGCTGATTCCGCTCCAAGGATATCCATTTGGCCCTTCATTTTGGCACCATCCCAAACAGCCCACACAAACAGGGTAGCGGCTAGCGCCGCTTGTCTCGACGTCTCACAAGACGAGAGTCGACGACGTCGCGGGGGGTGGCGCCACGGACGTAGCTCCATGGCCAGTCAGACGGGTCGAAGGCGAGACCGGTGAAGACGGTGTGTCGGGTGCGGCGCCAGAATGACTGGTCGGTAGCGGCGTACATGAATCGAATCACCGAATATCACAGATGCAAAGAAGATCTAGTCAAAAAAGACACCAGGACTTACACCACAACAGCTGGGTGTAGCAAAATAAGATGTCGAAAAAATGTCTCTCTATCTCGTTCTATAATATATGCCAGGATCTTCCAACTATGCCTTTTGGCTGTGTTTTAATGGATGAAAAGGCAGAACTTTTGCATAGTTGGAAGATCCAGGTATTTATATATATATATAGACAGAATGTGTGAATTTCGAACCTTGAAGTGACTGAGGACCTCGCCACATGTGTCAACCAAGGTTTCATGCCGTCCGAAGCGGTGGTGTTTGGGGTGGGTCCTTCGTCCTCCCAGAAGCATGCCCAATGTCTGGTGTTGTGTCCTTGAACCAGCAAGTGCGCTGTACAATTGCCAATGATCTCAAGTCCAAAGACCCATTTACTATGACCACGTCAGGTAAAATGAGGTCATTGACCTGTAGATCGGCGCATCAGAAGACTGAGTAGAGGTTTCCCTTTCTGGGGGCCTCTTCCATGACTTGCGCATAGGGCGCATCAAAAGACTCAGTAGAGGGGCCTCTTCTATGATT